CCCCGGGGTTTTTGTTTTGGTTTTTTTTTGGCCCCCCCCCCCTCGCCGCTCTTCTGCACATTCCAGAGCAGAAATTTAAAGCTGCAGGGTCCAGAAATCCAGAGAGCCGCCCTGGAGAAATATATGGCAGAGGAAGGCAGGAGCAGAGACACCCCCTGAAATGTTTTTAGCATGTCGGTATTGATTACTTTTAATCGTGCTGCATTTTTCACCCAGATATACCTATTGTTTGTCGACAGAAATGCCGTCTGCGCTATAACCGTAGAGGACGGTGCTAGAGAAAAGGCCGATGACGCGCTGAAATAGCTACTCGATGGAACTTCCACGTAATTCACCTTGACATTTTGCCGTCTTGCGCGGCGCGGTGCAGCTGGACCCCTTTGTTTGGCCGCCCCTGTCTCTGGCGATAAGGTTATCGCCTGCAGAGATTCCGCTCGTAATCGCCCGCCCGCCACGAGCGCCCTTAATAATCCTGCGGTGTCGGGTGCGAGCTGTGGCCCCGTGGTGCGGCCCTCTTTTTTTATGGGGGGGGGGGGCTGTTAGGCCACTTTATTTCTCCCATGTGGGGGGGGGGAGGAAAGAAGACTCCTGAAGGACCGCCCTCCCATGAGATATTTGGGCTGCGAAACAGATGGGGGTCGCGGCGAGGATTGAATCTGGATTCAACCAGGCTGATCACCTCCTCCTCCCAAACAGGAATATTGTAAACCCCCCCCAGCCAGCTTTTATGGTGTACACATGCATGGCGAGGGGGGGCCATCACTTGCCCGGATGTTTTTACTGGTCCTGTTTTATAATGAGATAAGGACCCTGACATTAGTTCCTTGGCTGGGCGGTTATGGATTCGGACCTCAGGACCCCCCCCCAAGCCTTACCTCCCCCCCCCCAAGCCCCCTGTCCTAGATCACATAACAGAAAACCAGCCTGAGTCCCACCGCTGGCATTGGGGTTGGGGCTGGGGGGTGCCACAGAAACACACACTGCCTTCCTTTCATTATTCATCCGGCGTCTTCCATAGCGGCCGTATCGATGTGGGGAAAGCGGGGGCCACGCTGGAGCGTCAAAGCCATTTCCCGATGAGGGAGACAAGGTGGAAGTAATCAGCACCGCGCTGATGCAATTTGACAGCCCGCGAGCAGCCGCAGCGCATTTAAGAGCAGGTGGAGAGCGGGTCGGGGGCCCGGCCGGCTCACACGGCGCTTTGGGGGGGGGGGATGGAGGGGGCTGAGGCCCAGGGGCAGGGAAACTTAGGGAAAAGGAGCAGCCCCGTTTAGCGGGAAAATACTTGTGATCTGTAGTGAAACCCCCCCCCCCTCCCCCATTAAGATTCCACTGCAATCTCCTGGGCTTTCACAAGCCATCGGGGGACCAAGGTGACATTAGCGTGAACATGATTCCAATACACTGGGGGCCACCATGTTAAAAACACTCACGCGAAGAGTTAAATGCGATGACCGATCTGCGTAAAACAAGGGGAGGCATAGCGGGTCTTAACTCGCCTGTGAACCGCAAATCTAGAGCTTTATTTTATTTAGCTACCTTTGTTGAGTGCGCAACGTAGCATCCAGCTGAACATTTGGAAGTACAGGCAGCTCTTGACTGATGTAAGTAAACCGGGCCACAAACCCTTGCGTTAACTCAAGATTAACCCCCATACTGTACAAGACACCTTATAGCAAAAAACACGTGATATCAATATATTATTATTAATACACTAGTGGCCAAAATTGTGCGAACAATTTTTTGAGATTGTAGAACTTCATTCAGCTGTTACACCAGTTACTTATTTAATCATCCAATGTATGATAATTGTAACATTCTTTGACTGTTTATAAACATTGCCGCCAATATTGGTGTAGTTATTTTTAAAGCGTAACGCCAGAAATCCTAGGTGTTTCCACAATTTTGGCCACTAGTGTACGTACTAAAATTAATGGAATAAGCTGTGCATTTACTTAGTGTTAGCACCCCTGCAAACTATTCAAATCTGATGTTTTTCGCGTGAGTCCAGATTTACATAAGTTGGTTTTACATAAGTCGAGACCTGCCTGTATGCATGCATAGGCATCTCTCATGCTGCCACGTGTCCTTACGTGTCACATGCAGCCCCCCCACGTCACATGTCAACCCTGCTTTTCCTCCAAGCTCGCCGGCTTCCGGCTGTCTCTCCCGGCGGCAGGCAGGTGAGATTGATTAGTTCCCCCGAACTGTCGCCATGGCGTCCAACACACGTAATACTGTGTGTGTGTGTATGTGTGTGTGTGTGTGTGTGTGTGCCTGGTGACAGCGTCCGCCCTCCTGTAGCTGACGGAGAGATTTATCCATTTAGGCCCCTGCTGCCCCGGGAGGGGGGAGTGTGGGTGACCTTCAGATTGATCCGGAAAAATGCCTCTCAGAGGCATCCATTAGCATTTTCCTGCAGCGAGAGCACGCGGCTTCGCCGCCGGACTTTCGATTGTGCACGGGGGACGAGACTCGACAAGCACACACCTCAGCCCGACCCGTGTGACCTCACGGGCTTCCGTTCCGTTAACGAGGTCACTTATTCCAGGAAGGTTTACCGAGGCCAAAGTCACGTCCGCATCAACGCGTGCCCCTGCGGGCTAACTTTAACATGTTAGCACGACGCCAGCTAGCTCCGTTTTCCCGTCCCCAGACTTAGAGGGAAATATTCGCACTTCGGGACAAGTTTGACTGGAATGCGACAGATTTGAAAGGGGCCGTCTGTCACCATTTTCAATCATCTAAGTAGCCATCGTTAATCAAATTTATTGGTTGCTGAGGAACAAAGAACGGTCCAGAGGTGCAGGAGGCTAATGGAGGCTCTGGCATGGGGACAAGTTGGGAAATCGCCGCCCCGTATTACAATCTTGGACTAAATTATATAATTCCACATTCAAATGAATTGATCTGTTAATCAA